CTTGATCTCTCGTGACCCCCATAACTCTCTGCTTTCTCCAGCAGCAGCTCCGGGATTCCTCGGGACTCTTCCCAGTTCAGGGAAGTGCTGTGGGAGTTGCTGGGGTGGGGGGAGGCAAGAGGCTTTTGCCCATTCCTGAACATATTTGTATATAATTGTATATATTTTCTTGTATCATTCGTTAGTGTTTTAATTAAAGCTGTGTAGTTTAGTTTTCAATCCAGCTAAGTCTCTCTCTTTTTCTCTCTCTCCTTCCCTACCTGGGTTGGGGGGAGGGGGGATCGAGAGCATTGTTGTCGGACCTGAGTCAAACTGTGACACAAAGCACCAAATTAATTAAATCTTAATCTTTTCTGAAGCTGCCATTAAGTACAGTACATTTTAATTCCATATAGAAAATGGAAAGAAAAATTTATTTCAGAGCAGGAAGAAGCTTAAGAGTTGCCAGAAGGAGCAAAGGCCTTCCAGGCTCCTGTCTCCTGACAGGGCTTCATGAAACACCACCAGGCAAGAGCAAGAAATACTCTTTTGCAACATTTAACTAACTTTTCTTGATTTTCCTTTCATTACTCTAATTTTATTTTTGAGATTTAACCTTCATACTATGTTGTGACAATGAGTTCCGCAGTTTAATCAGGCTCTGTGTGAAGAGGATTCCCCACTGCCTTCACCCTCCATCACTGCCTCCGCAGGACACAGCAGGGGCTAGTGAGGGGAGATCAAATGGAGCAGAGCTCTAGCACATTCGCCATCCTTCTCCACCTTTTACAGACTTTTTTTTTTAAAAAACTGAAGTCTGTACAAATGTGAGTGGAAAGTAACGACAATCTAAATAACTGTCCAATGAATTATGCAAATTTAACCTTTAATTTATTGAACAGGAAAAAAGGTCACCAGCATTTGCACTGAGATCACTTAAGACGCCTGTACATTTAAGCTCTGATTTTCAAAAGCTCATGTCTCACAAGTGTGGCCTTTAAGGCCCAGAGGTTCAGACGATACGCTCCCTTCCCACCGGGATGCTGCCTGCAGTGTTTCTGAACAGGCAAGAGTGGCAGGTGCTGAAAACCAGAAAATCTGATACCAGTGCCTGGTTCCAAAGATGTCAGAGCAACCAGTCCCCTCCAAAAGCTGTGCAAAACCAACTCAGAGAGACTGGGCCTTAGACATCACAGACCTGGCTGTGCCCAGGAGCGAGAGAAAGGACAGTACATTGACATCTGACTGCAACCTGCTTTCTCAAGCTAGCGCTACAGTTACCCCTGACCTTGTGCAAAAGATACCAAATGGGGCTGGCTCTGCACTAGTGCTCCCAAAAAGAGAAAGGGCGTGGAAACTGATGGGATCTGTCTCATGGTAAGAAGCTTTATCAGCTACACTCATCCACCAGGGAGTGGACTACTCATTTGATTTAGAAAATTTTTAATGAGAAAAGATTTCTGACAACAGTCTTGTCAGAAAGAAGGAACTGAGGTCTGATGATTGGAAACCAAAGCTAGGCAGAAATTAGGCTTGAAATCCTGACCAGAAGTAACCCACCCACTTTCAGCATTAAGTGCAATTAAGTATTCGAACAACTTATACGCTGCTTCACCCAAAAGCATCCTTGAAAACATCCTGCTTCAGCATCTCCTTCCGAAACCCGTGAACAGGCATGAAAACAAGGGGGTAAAACATGTGTTTTCTCCCTCCCTGCTGCTGCCACTGGTCCATGCCCAGCACACCACTGAGTAGGCTGAGCTTGTGCAAAACTAGCCATAAGAACACAGTTTGCCTACTGCTCCTGGAATGTTTATTTGCCCACTGGTGGCCACAGAGACAAATCAACCTACCAACACTGACCACACCTCACCCTGCAAACAGACACACTGTCTTAAAAAAGAGGGATAATTTTAATTAAAAAAGTCCAGCACGTATGTTCAGAAAAACACTAATGGCAGCATGAAATTGTCATGTACATTTTTGTTTTCTGTTACAACTGCGATTCAGGCACAGTCTTTTTATGAGTGGTTAGCTATTCATGTCATATGAAACCAGAAATATTCCTCTCACAAAAAGTAACTAGTCTGCTTAAAAACAAATAACTCTAGAAGATTTTGCTCCCTGTATTTACAAAGCCTATAAATGATTATGTGACAACTCCTCCATTCGGTATTAAAGAACCCCATAATTATCAATATTAAAAAGCCCCTTGTCAACAGAATGACAATTGACAGCCTATCCTCTCTCCAAAGAGTTACAAAAGTACTGAGCCTCTTCTTCTGCATAAAGCAGAAACATTTTAACATTGCTTAACAGCTTGGCACAAAACCTACCCCTTGCACTGCAATACATTTAGGAACTTTGTTTCTAGAGATGTATTGCATGTTTTCTCAGAGTGAATTTGGAACATGTGGTCAGGTATCAGTTACATGTTAAGGATTTCTTGAAAATCTAGAGCCTGATCTCATTTTTTCAACCACATCTGCTCTTGGAAGCAGGTTTCCTTTTCTATGCATTCCTTGTTTTATAAGCTAACTCATTTAACTAGTGCATGAAGACTGATCAAAAAGTGTGATTTGACAGGTGTGGAAGAAATGCAGTAACGGATGACATTTTCTTCACACCAGCATTCATTTTACCTGTCAATTCCAGCCAGATTTTATACTTTTTTTCTTTTTATTAGACTTTAAAATCCTAATCATCTGGAGACACAGGTTCAACAGCACAGCAAAATTATGCTCTACACATTTTGCTATTTAAAAACTATCCTTACATATAGAAGACCAGAAAAAAACCAACAACAAACCCAAACAAGAAAAATGCAACAATATGCCCCCAAATTCTGTGTTACTGCTTTGCATGGAATGAAATAACCCAGAACAGCCTCTCCAGTGAAAGAAAGGGCACTCATCAATCTCATACGAAGTGAAAAGATTAGTAGATGCCCCTTTTCTGAGTGACATCATCCGTTGTATATAAGACAGGAAACCATCTGAACTGAGAGCACTACCAACTACAGTGTTGATGCACTCATTGCCTCTGAATTCCACATACACAACTGCCTCATTAATGAAGGATTAAGAACAAAGCTTTCAGTTCTTGACTAAGATCACAACTAATTACAGCACTTCTGACAATCACAAATGCGTATGGAATATCATTAGCAAGAAGGGTTTCTATTATCGCTACTGCTACCTTGTGAAATTAGGTGTTTTTATAAGATGGCATTCCTATTCTTTCTTGAGTAATCTACTCTGTTTACAAGGTGGCAAAACCTATGAACTGAATCTGAACAACTGGGAAGAAAAATAATTATTACCTTTTTAATACAAAACAGACCAATTACCAACTGAATGATACAAGGTAAGTGAAGGGTGGGAAAGGTTATCTAAGATTGTAGCAAATTACAATTATTTTAAGCATGGAGAAAATAGTATCAGGATGGGATTTTACATAAGAAGCTGTTAAGTTTAATATAATCTAATTGCTTGGAGAAAAGTGTGCCAAACTGGTATACATTCTAGCTGACATCAATACTGTGGCACAGGACAGTAAGTGTATTTACATACTATATATAATTTATAAATCTACTGCATTAGAGAGACAACTACTCTCAATCTTACCACAGTAATCTGGAGCACCAGCAAAGTGCCATTCCTTTTCACTTTTAATTATCTTTTCTTCATAAATGCTTTAATCAAGAACATTCGCTCTAGCGTGAGATGTCCCTGATTACTGTAGGAGGGTTGGACTAGATTACATTTAGAGGTCCCTTCCAATCCAAGACATTCTATGATTTCTGAACCCTGTTTAAAACTAAAGAATAAAAGGGAGAGCAGCATTCCTTCCAAAGTCAACAGCATAAGGGAGACCTTATGAAAATTAAAACCAGGCATGTCCCCAGTTTTAGTATTTTACCTGTAAGCAGTAAGTTGTTGCTACTGCTTGTTTCTTTATAAAGGTTTGAAGGGCAAAAAGCACTGCTGTGCTCCAAGGGTTAGCATCACCCCTGGACTGGCAGGTTTAACTGTCATATATGAAAACATTTGCACAATTTCCCTTTTGAATCCTAACCTTTACCCAACTGGTTTTTAAAAGGTCCAGTCCAACACTGGCTCCACAAGTGCTTCAAGGTTGAAGTCCAGTGCAAATTTATATGGATGAAGAAACCATGAAAACAGAAAATAGTCACTTGCATACACTAGATGTTGCAGTCAATATTAACAATTTAAATAGATTATATTAGAATTCATGCCATTACAGCTCCTAGGTACTGAATGGTAAGTGTCACTCACAATGAATGAAGAATTGGAAAATGTCTTTCTTAAGATTTCATCTACACTATTTGAAACCGGTCTCAACTTCACCAAGATGCATGATTCAGCTGAGTTTTCATGCCAGAGAAAATAAAACCCAGCAGATATGGGCAATTAATGCTGGAGATGGTGGCAGAGGGACATACTTCAGTAAAGTCTGGAGAGTTAATGTCCCCTTTACCGTTAATTTGGGAAGCAGTAAGACAACAAGACAACTGAATATAAAGAGCCTTAGTGCTGAAGAAACAGGCTGTCCTAGTGTGACTTCCTTAGTCAGTCTGTAGAAACTGGGGATTTTTTTTATACATTCAAATAAAATACTTTATTATGTGAAATGCTTCCTTGCAATGGCACTACTTATAAATGCAGATTTTTAGGGTTCAAAATGTTATCACTAGATTTCAGTATTTTATCTGCTGTTGTGCTGTGACAAATTACTATCGTAGCTAGTTGCTGTGATGAGTGTTCTCCAGCATTAAGCAGATTTAAAAAAACAAACCAAAAACATTCCTGGCATGAAGCAACTTGCAAGCTTTACTGCCTTCCTAGACAGAATGGTGCCAGCTCCCCCATAAATCTCATGAGCACTGTAAGGGCAGTAACGCCCAGACTAGATGAACATGCTGTAGACTTGGGTTGCTTTCTGTCTTTGAGCCTCCTACCTGACCTCAAGCTCAGGCAGTTTCTGCAGTTGTATAAATAAATGAGGTATCACTCAATTAATAAGATTATTAATTATTAATAAGATAAGGGATTAAAATATGCTACCTAACTAAAAATTCGATACACTTTACCATTCTGCCTATAGGAATACACTGCAGTTCTTTAATGCCTTAGACACACTCTGGAAATTAGCATGAAAGTTTACCTCTCAAAACATTTTACTTCCTGCTAACCAGGGAGATGATGTCAGGATCCCAAACAAGTAGCAAATGGATAAAGGGAATTCCTGACAACAGGAATATCATCTCATAAGCCTTTGCTATTAAAAGCTACAGACTGTTACTCACAATACCTCTAAAGAGAAGTTAAACTGGACACTGCAAAATGCTGGAGGTCATGAATTTTCTCCTCATGTCGTTGTTAGCTGTAGCAATTCAGCACAATGATAAAAAAACCCAACTGTATAAAAAAGGTAATTTTAATGATATGTCAAAGTTTAAAAAACTGACTGTGCCACCAGAGTTCAGTTCACTGCTGCTTTAGATGAAGAGCAAATGAAAGCATGGAGGCATAAACTGCACTGCAGGAGTTGCTGGGACAGCATCCGCTCCTATGCAACAGAGAACAAATGAAGCTCAGTTAAGAGAACAAATTCTTCCAGCTTTGAAGCTCCTTGTGTCCCTAAATTAAGACTTGAACATTATGGTTATTTGAAAATAGTACTTATTTAAGAAAAACAAAACAACACATGACAATATATTTCCTATAGCTTTAAGGATGTTTAACAAGCAGCAACTAAGAGACAAGTGAAAAAATTATTATTTTTTTGAGAGAAAAAAAAAGTACAATAGATTACTTTTTAGTATGACAGTAGGACAGAAACAATTCCTTCAATAATACCCATTTATTGTCTTCTGCTTATTCTTGTCAATACATACCCATTCTGAGGTCATTAAATCTGAATTAACTGCCTGATATATCCTAACGACTTCAAAGAACCCATTATAACCAGTTAGACATAGAAGTTTGAGCCTTGAATTGAATAGAAACTGTAGACAGCACTGAACACCCTCATTAAAAATCAATAGAGAGGGAGTATGTGGCCTGGCAGGCTGAAAGAAATGATAACAAGATCTTTAAATCCTTCTACTTCTAGGGCAATTATATACCAACTCCTATGTAGCTACCTGATGAATGAAAAGAATTTGACAGTAGTAGGTCCTACCTAACACCCAAATTGCTTTTGAGCAGTGGTCAAATTTGTTGATAGTGGTGAAAGTCTTAAGGCTTTGCAAGACCATAGAGATCCATGATTTCAGATCAAGGCAACAGACTTCAATAAGGAAACAAAAGAAAACATTTTTTATTTTTGTCCCATGTAAACAATGTGTTGAGAATGCTAGTATTCAAAATTTCAGTATTTATAGTATATGAGTATTTCATGGTGACACTGAAACAGTAGATTAAACCAAAGGAAAAGAAAGTTATTTTAGGCACAGAAATAACAGGTGTATAGATCATGGTACAGAACACACTGAAATAACATTAAAACAGGGGAATAAAGTGTGTTCCTGTATAACTGAAGAGGCTTGGAAAGCATATCCTATAGACTCAGATGGTGTTTGGAAATTTACTGACAAAAAAAACAAAACAGGAACCTATTCCTGTTAGATCTGGGAGATGTATTTTAAAAGGCAAGACCAGCTCTGTCTTTTCTCACTGTCAGTTGTGCAAATGAAGCCAAGCAGCTCAAGTATTCAGCATAGCTCTATTTTCCTTAAAAAGACTGAAAGCAAAAATTTGGAATGCCAATAAAAACCAAGGTAACTATTGAAAGGACACAGATGGTACTTTTCTTGGCATTGTTTTGCTGAACTGAGCCTAATGAAAAAAACTCATAACAAATCAGCTCCCATGAGACAGAAAATAATGTCCTGGCCTTATCTGAATATCCTAATGAATATAATATATAATAAACTTAGAAGTTGTATCTTATTTCATTTCTGATTCCATGTGCTGTGAAGGAATTGCCAGTCTCAGGAAAGATCATTTATCCTCCCAGACAGCACAAGCTTTAAGAACTTCTGCTGCCAAGAAGCAGGTTTGAAGAAGGAAGACAATCTAATTTCCAAGCTTCATTTAATCCATAATATTCTTTCTAAGATCATGACTGAGCTCACTCCTTGTAGAAGATTTCCTGCAAAAAGATCACTGGGTTGTTTGGAAGTGTAATACTGCAAACTCTGCTGGCTTGCTACTACAAGCAGTCAGAGCTATGATTTCACCTACAACCTGTACACGAAAGGCAACAACAATTCACTATCGAAGTGCCAAATCAGGATCGAAGTTTCACAGTGTAAGAACAATTCTCATTAAGTCTGTTTTGTGATGTAACTTCTCTTTCAGTCAACAACATCCTTTCCTCTGTGTAATAATTTTGCAGAACTATGAAAGTTAGAAATGACTCTCAGATTTGAAGTGCTGTGTGAATAACTACAGCTCTGTATGCAAAATGCACAATCTTCAGGTATCTTCAAGTCTGCACATAGTTCCACTGCAGTATATGGACAAAGAAATGCATCCATATGGCTCAGCTTGAAGGGCAGGAAGCAAAAGCAAGCTGTAAAAACTGGATGTTTAACAAAACTGCAATCCTGTAAGAATCAAGTCCTTATTTATGCTGTTGTCCAGTCTTCATGAAAATTCTATAGATTTTTTAGCAATGCTGACAAAGGCAGTAATAATTCTTAAATCCTATCAGGTTTGTGAAAAGGCTGAATTTCCCAACAAGACCCAGCTTATGCAGCTTTTAGAAACTCTCATACTGGTCATAAAAGTAAAATGCTTAGCCCTGAAGGCCAATGGCTATTCTTCATTTAATCCTACATTGTTGGACATGAAATACAAGGATGAAGAACACGTACCCCCAGCCCTTCTGCTTGCCTTTTCTTTTTTTTTTTTTCTAATATGCTGCTTCTGTTCGGCTACACCATGGGCCTGAGAGCAGGCATGGCAGAGATACACACTCAAGAGTACATGCTGTTGTCAAGGCCAATGAAAGGGGAGCATACCAGAGGCTCCCAGACCAAAACCCAACTGATAAATCCAGCATCTGATTCATCAGCTTCAGTATCCTGTGATGGAGAAAGCCATCCTTCTCAAACCAAAAATCACAGTGCAAACCCTTTTTCTTCCTGGAAAATGATCATTAAAATATATGTAGTGTGTTAAAAAAAAGTAAGTCACAGGGAATTCACATTCATCCCCACGGCTGTCCTCAGGGAAACCTAAAAAACAAAAGTAATCTCTCCCTTTTGTAGCAAACACACACAAAGTATTCAATCAAACCAAAACCAAACACACACAAAAAAAGAAAATCTGGAAAGAAACCTTCTGTTATTTTAATGAGCTTATATTGCTTTGATCAGAAAAGGTCAGAAACAATACATGAAAATACACCATAAAAACTATGAGCTCTTTTTAAACTCACCTGCAGCTTCCCTCAAGTTTGTGATTTTTCCTGCACATGCACTGTTACATGCACACACAGAGACACACAAAACGTCAGTCCACTTTGAGAGAAAATTAAGAGAAGGTGAGTGCAAAGGCCCTGACCCAAGGAAGCGTTAGGCTTTTAGCTACCTACTTGCAGAGCCCCCAAGTCTACTGTCACCCACTACCATGCCGGGTTAGCAAGAGGCTAATGAGGATCTAGCAGTGAGCGGAGGTGTTGGACAGACCGCGGCCGGGGGGTTAGTGTGAGCCCAGCCCCGCTGCGGGGCGGCGGGAGGCGTGGAGGGGCACTTACTGACGCTGCCACAGACCGCCAAGCAGTACTCCTCCGAGTCAAAGTTGTTCCGGTTCCCGCCACAGCCGCCGTAAAAGAAGGGCGCGCACTTTCCTTCGGCCACGTCAAAGTACCAGCGGGAGATCATGGCGCGGCAGGGACCAGTCTCGGCTTGCTCAGAGCACACCTCTAGTCATGGGAGACCCGGAGGAACCACATTTAGCATGGAAATGGTATTGTCTGGGTTTCTTAGTTAGGTGCCTCCCAATGTCCATGCGTGCGAGCCAGGAAGGAGAGACACCAAGGAGGTGTTTTGGGGAAGGGGAAACCCTCCCCCAGAAAACCACCCCAGAGACAAGGAAGGTAAATTTTGAACTGACTCAGATTCGTGCCACTAAGCCTCCTCAGTCTGCCTCTACTTTTATGGTTTGAAATACTTTGTTCACACACTGGGAGGGCGTTGCCCTGAAACAAGCTCCAGCATAGTGGCAAGGCTACAGGCACGAAGCTTCATCTGTTTCCAGGCTGGAGAGCTACAACCACTGGCTGGCTGCGGGTCTGCCGATGGTCACAGGCAGATCCCTGCACCATCAGCTCACCGGACTTTTCCAGAAGGTGAACATTTGAAAGCAGGAGGAGTCACTTATTTTCTTGTTGTTTTTTTCAGCTATATAACCCCTCTGTGCCCAAACTGGAAAGGTTTCCTAGCATATACAGGAGCAAACACAAACCTCAAAATATTTTTGAGTTGTAGAGGGGAAAAAAAAAGTATCTTCAGATAGCTATTTACATATAGTCACTGCCAAAGAAACTCTCTCTTGCAGGCTGCCTGGCAGAGGGTTTTATTTCATAGGTTGATGGCTCACATATATGAAAGTACTGCCATAGCTTTAACCCATCCATGTGAGGTAATCTCAACCCCAGCAGATATAGGAAAAAAATTAAAAGAGTTTGTGTTCATGTTGAGCTGCCACAGTCTCTGCCTACATCCTGCACCACATGAAAACCTGAGGGAAGAACTGAACCACATAAATTAAAGAAAGACAAAGTAAATTCTGTCTGCAGTTTGGAATTCAGCCAATTACGCTTATAAATGTATAGCCCTTTACCAATAATGTTCCAAACAGACAAAAACAGTTTTATCTTTCAATGTGCTGCATAAGTCTTGTCAGACAAACTCGTACACTCAACTAGAGGCTTCTACATTCTCTGCATATATTTGAATTTGTGAAAGGGAGATCCCTACGAGTTGAAAGGGATGAAGAAATATCAGTGCATTAGCACTGAAAATCCCTCGCACATGTATCACCTCTCAGATGTTGGGTACAAAGAATCCCACTTCTCAGCCCTTATCAATCACTTCACTCTCCCCAGGAGGCCCACATTTATAAATATATTTTATGTTCAATTGTCATCAACTGTCAGTGTGTATACCTGTATTTCCTTACACTTATAGTTTAGGTATAATTACCCGTGTTTAACATATTCACATATTGTATCTATAAATAATGTGGAGAATCAATTTCAGGGAGCATACTTTTGGTTTAAGAGAAATAGATACAAGTGTATGCAGCCACGAAGGATGTGCTACAAATGTCACAATTCTGTAACAAGCAATTAGGGGGAAAGGAATAGCAGGGGGTAAAGAAACAGTAGATATTTTACTTAAGAAAAAACAAGTATGCTTAATTGCACAACACATTTATTACAATTAATTGTATACTACTGTATGATTAATTATAGACCGCATTTAGTATTCAAATGTTTCTTCTCATTTATTTTAAAATGAAATCCAGCCCTGCCATCCAATTACACAACCAGATATTCTCACAAAGCTAAATTTGCACAGCCTTGGAAGAGCTGTCACACACCATTGAATAGTGACTCTTGACATTAAAGAGACAGGTATAAATGATTAAACAGAAAAGCAAAATTACGAAACTAAATAGTGGATTCTTGTTTAAGCACTGAATATTTATTACTGGTATGAACTTTGTCCCTTTTTTATAGATGCAGTGTATGTAAAGGAAGGTGTCCCACCCATGGTAGGGAGGTTGGAATAAGATGATCTTCAAGGTCCCTCCAAACCCACACCATTCTATAATTCTGTAAGAGAACTTCTGTTGATGGGAAACATCATTTCAAAAAACACAAAGGTCTCAACAACTCAAGTCTTTCTTAGTTAATGCTGACTATGGGCTGAGTTCTACCCACACAGTCACCCTTCTAGGTTTCCCTCAAAATACTAGTTCTGCTGTAAAGCTGGGTTGTTTTCATTTTGCACTGTTGGTGTTCCGGTTCACAGATTGAATTTGAGATTTCTTATAGGAACCTCTCTGACAGAAACTGCAGCTGATTTTTTCCTTTTGCAAAAGCTGAAGTACCCAGCTATACTGGTATTGGTGAGACCTAAATGGGAATTATTTCATTGCAGAGAGAAACAGTCTACTGTGCAAACAGTTTATGACCTAAATGAAGACTAAACAAGAGAGGGAAAAAATGCTCTGTATTACTGTTTCACAACTGCTGTTTGAGGCAAGTGTGTTGCTGGCCCAGTCTAGGAAACCTCTCACTGCTGTCATCGCTTTACCAGTGTCACTACCACCATCTATTACTGCCCATTCTCTGTGGAGGGCTCAGAGTAGTGTCTCTTCCCCCTGCTTTGGGGCAAAGATACCTTTTCAAGCCACCTTCAATGCCAGTGAAATGCTCCCATTGCTGTTGCTCGTGGACCATTTGCTCCTCTCATGCCACTTCATAACCCCATCACTTGTCCTTATGGAAAAAAGGCTCTGCATTTGATCCTCAGCTGTACCACCTCATCTGAGAAGATGGGGAAATGAAGTGCAGAGGTGGAAAATTCAACAAGTTCTCTTGGGCTATTAATCCAAATACCATTTCCCATTCCACTCCTACTGAGTGTAGCAATTAATGATCATGATGGATGAGCTATGGTATTTCCACAGATATTAGCTGCAGGCAGGCAGCATACACTCCTAAGTGATTAATCAAAAAATTAAAAGCTGTCTTTCCTTCATATATTAATCCTGCTGCTGAAAACTGATTGAAAGATTAGTTATTTTTTGCTACTATGTAATTCAATTTTCAGGTACCATTAATATTTTGTATGCAGTATAGCATTTACTGTGACCTTTGCTTTGCTTAAGGATCTTGCTCACTCTCCCTCCTCCAAAGGCGCATGTTTGCCTTTGGCTTCATGAAATTGGATAAAATTTAAAAGGACAAGACTTTGCCATAATCCAAGTTCATAAGTAGTCTAAGTTCTGTTTTCAAATGCTTAGAGTATTCAAACCATCCTTCTTCAATCGTAAAATTTCTCTCATCTTCTCTGTGTCCTAAACCAAGTTGCCAATACCTTCCTTCTCTGAAGCCTCAGATACAGTAATTTACTTCTGAGACAATCAGGAAAATATAATTCAACTTTTCTCATTCCAAACTTCTTAGACTTATTGCAGCCTCTTGATGCAAAAAGAGAAAAAGAGCCATTTCTAAACAAGAAGGTAGATCATTCCCTGAAGAACAGTGCTGTAGCAAACCATTTGTTATTTGCTTTAAAATGTATAGTTAAAATGATACACTGAAAACTAACCAGTTACACTAAACACCGGGACTGACTGTTATTTTTTTATTGAAAAGCATAGACTTCAGCACTCTAGCAAACATATAGTCTTAAGTATGTGGACATTGATTATAGTGGCTTTACACAAAGTACTTCCTTAAACACCTAACAAAATGCTGTAAGTAGAGCTAATTAGAAATCATGTGCAAACATATCAGATACTTTTAATGATCAGTTGTTTCATTACCATATAAATTGTTTTTTTCTGTTCCTTGAAAAAAACCCCTGATTTTAAATCAAAGTGAAATTATAATTGCTTTATTTCAAAATCTCAACTCCATGTTTTTTTCCCCACATGGCACTAACACTTACTTTGTGAATACCAATATTTTCAATTGAGGAATCTGAAAGAAAGTTTAAACTTCTAATGGGGGAGGGAAATTAAAGCTACATTTACATACTTCTGTTGCTCTAAACACTCGGTATTTTCTTCAGGATTTGAATTTATTTACATGCTCATGAGAACTAAGCTCATTAAAATGCTGGCACAGTCAGTCCCAAACCTTAAACTGGAAATGAGATTTTAAGAGATTTAAGAAAAAAGACGAAAGGAAAAACAGGAGGAGTTAGATTACCAACTCCGAACTGTCTTGGAACTTGGGTCCTATGTGTAGTTTACACCTCTGAAAAAATTATTTAATGCTACAGTAGGAAAATACCATCATGCTGGTTTATTACAAGTTCTTTAATTTAGCCACAGTAATGGAGAACACATTGTACTGATTACTCTTTCTATGCTACGAGCCCTTCAAGTTTGAAGTTGACATTGTTAAGTGCATACAAATAAATCATACTGGTGGTGTGAACCAACTCACTAGCACTGGCATGTGTTTTCCTTGTCTATGTGGTTGTCAGTTCAAACTGTTTATCATAACCACACTGGACACAAACAAATCTTAAACATAAAACACTGAAGCTGCTTAAGTGTGTGGGAGAACAATGCTACATTTTACCATTTATATTTCACTGAAGAACAGAGTAACTGATGAAAGCAGAGTGGTCAAAGGAACAAAACTCTCAAATATGTATCATGAGGTATATGCTCTACTTTATCATGTGCTAGTTTATGTTAATACAGCTAGAGTCATCTTGCCTTGTGTGTCTTCAGGAACTGGGAGCTGTCGTTTGAGGATATTAATACACATGTATCTATATTAGTCTCCATTTTTTAACTAACTGACAAAAATTAGAGAAGAGTAAATGCACACTGTTTTTATTTTAGTTATACTGTTTGTGTTCCAAAAAGGCACAATACTGTTTTGCTCAATGAATTAATCAAAAGGGAAAGACAAGATTATTTAACTGAAACAAAACTTCCTCATTTTGAATAAATGGTTAGAAGAGGCAGCCAAATTTTAGATTGAGTATTCAAAGACCAAAGTTAATTTCAGTAGAGGTTTTTGGAACTAGGAGAAGGCAGCTGTGAAGCTGGCACATACTCTAAGAATAAAGTTGGTGCACAAGCTACACAATTGCTAAAATACTTTCTAGAGACAAAGTTAAACAAGCAAAATTATTACTTCTAAATGCAATACTGAAGAAGAGCACGTCTAAAACTGTTCAAGAACCTAAAATTGTGATTTTCATCCTGTGCAATTAAAATTTAATTTCTCTCTCTAAGGTTTCTTCTTAAACTACTGGAGGGGAATATTTGGAATATGAAAAAAAATTAATTGTATACTTGGCTAGAATACAAACACTTGTGATTCTGAAGTGGAACAAATATGTAAAAAATATTTTCTATTTATGTGTTCACAACACTGCATTTTGAAACAAAGTGACATAAACAAAAAAAAGAAGTCCAGCTTGATTGTAAATGTATATTGTTAAAATGAATTTACGTGTATTTTAGAAAAGGTAAAATTTCCACGTAACATCAAGATTATTCTAACACAGCACAACAGTGAACATGAGGATTAGCCCAAAAGTGTATTCCAGCTTTTTCACACAGCAAAACAAAATATTCAATTAGTTATTTCTTCAATATAGTAAAATGACATTTTCTCTAGTGAAACAGATTCTTGGGGGCTTTCTTCTGACAGGATATATGTCAGATGAAACCATTCTATGCCCTCCAACCTTACTGAACTTACACTGTTACTGAATTTAGTACTTCAGTACAGTTGCCTTTGACTCAAAATAATAGTCATACTATATTGCTTTTCTGTCAAGAAGGTCAATTACTAGATTAAAAAGATTTTTTTCCAATTGCAGCACATCTTGAAGTACTATATTACGATGGAATAGCTGAGCTTTAAACTATAATGTCTAATTAAAAGCTATCAGTGATTCTAATGCAAACCAATTAGGTTAATTTTATCAGCTCTTCTTCATATGTTAAGAGTAGATTGTCATTCTTAATGAAGATCTAACAAAAAAAAAAGTAAAGTTTTCATAATGGGTACTATTTAATAGCAAGGTATCTATGTTTTCTTAATACGGAATGCACTCATACATTTCCATTTTCCAATTAAAGCATACTGCATAGTTTTGAAGTAAATGAAGAATGATAAACTACTGCCTTAGAAAAAAGATAACCTTTGAAAGAAAAAAGTGGGGCAAATTTTTTAATAAAAAAAAGCCAAATTAACCTAGAATATGCTACTCTTATGATAAAAATTATACCACTTATAGGTTTAGAAATCAGGGTTAAACTCCCTTCACTCAGAATAGATAGTAGCTGTCACTGAATGGATTTAAAGCCTTTTAGACATAAAAATCTTCCTCAAAAAAACCCATGTTAGATCAATAAAGCTGAAAGCTACCATACAAGCATCAGACTACTTTCTCTTGTTAGGAAACCAGCATATGGCCTCTTGCTTGCAACTTCAGACTGTAAACACAGTTAAAACGTCACATTGAGCAGCACTGCTTAATCCAGCAGAATCAGAGAAAGAAAAACCAATGGCTGAAGGGCAACACTATATGCTAGACGAGGCAGATCAAGCTTATGCTGCTGAATCCCCTGCATCTGCTGACAGGCACGCAAAGAAGCTTGCTGAGTGTTTTCTGCCAGGCTGCTGCATTGACCCCACTGTTATCCTTTAAATGAGACCTGATCGACTGCTAGGTTGAGGGGAAGTCCTAAACTGAAATTGTTTATTCTTTGTTGTATGCCACAAGAGACTGAGTTTTCTTGTCACCTACTGTGCTGAAGGAGAGCAGAAACAAAATCAACAATTGCAAGTGACAGGGAAGCAGTGCTTCTGCTTGCTTCGCTTGCGTGCTGGAAGAATCACCTGGAGTATGGATGCCTCAGGAGCAGTGGCTCTGCAACACCCAAGATGCTGCAACGATAACAGCAGAAATCAAACCATTCCCTTGCCTAGATCTGGGCCAGCAGAAGTCCCCTCCCTTGCTCCACATAGCGACAAAAGTCAAGAGTCACAGTTTTCCTGCAGAGCTTCATAAAAGAGCCATAGTCTCTTCAGCACAAATTCAGTGATAACGTCTCCCAGTTACCAGAGGTGGGAAACATCAACGTGACATTCATTTCACTTTGGATCCCTGCCACCTCAGACCCACAAATGGCTGTATTTGACACCTGCACTACAGCAAGAGTATATCTGAAAGTTTAAACTGGGCTTGCTGCTCTAATTCATACGAATTGAGAGTGGAGATGGTCCTTCACAAAAGGCAGGAAAAAGAATACTGGCAAGTACTGGGCTAAGAAATTTTTTTTCACATCTTCTAATAAACACTATAGCTTATAAAAATATGGTTGCTGTGGAAACTGAATGAAAAGACTGTTGTCCTGCCAATGTCTCCCATTCTCTAGGCAAGACTAACTTCCTTTTCACTGGAAGTAAGTTTGCAAGTAGTTCTGCTATTCCTATTTTCATCACGATTCATTAAAATATGCATAGAAATAAAATTGCATAATAAATTGATTCTACAATAGCTCAAGTGTCTTTAAAGTGTAACATTACATTTATGCTTTTCAATTATTTATGGTTGATGGCAATCATTCTATTGATTTGGGAGAGAAAGGGCTCACTACCAGCCCACAATTAGATCCTAATTTATGGCTTCAGAACAGTTGCTCTTTGTTGATTCTGTGTATGAAAAGCAACTCCTCTCAAGCTGAACAAACTACTCTCTTGTGTTCTTTAGTGCTAATGACATAATATTAGTTACAGGTTCATAGAGCAAATATAAAACTGTCTGTAAAGTGAAGATCATCCTGCGACACGTTTTATGAACTGCACTTGGTAAAGTTTGGGAAAAGTAGCCTGAACAGAGGTTGTGTCCATGAGAACAAAGCTCTGACATGTAACACCATCTGGAAAGGTTTTCAAGGTGCCTCCACAGGACGGAGTATTCTTAACACGTATGTTGCCTATAAGGTCCCTCTGCTTCTTCCATTTGCACTGGCAGCGCTAAACTTGTCTTTTTGCAACACCAAGACAACAGCAGATGCCCACCACAGAAGTTCCTGTGCGGGATCTGCTGGATGCATCAGGAGGACAGGGCCCTGTAGGAAGCTTTCTCTCAAGAGAGGCAAGAGGAATTAAAGCAAGTCCAAGGCTTTAAGTTACTTGGACACTTCCACACTCACAAGTAAGCAAGCATTTTGCATAGTACAGCTCTGTCAGGGACTATCCTGGCACCCTCCATGCCCCAAGATGGCTGGAGGTCAGAAAGCCCCAAGGGCTGTGGCAGAAATGTGCTGAAAACTTGGACTGGTAAGAGATTGTTCTTACCTCATTTGCAGCAACACATTTAATTCACAGTCACCTAAGGTGGGAAATTTTAGACTTGGAAAAAACAGGACAATCGCATTTCATTATCAGCTAGCAAGTGTAGACATTTCTAAAGGTTTTTTTAAAGGTGAATTCAATGGTTTGCCTCATCTCTTTTATATTTTACATTCATATTATTACACTCTACTTTCCTGAAGGCTAAACATCTTAACCTCTTTGAAATGTCAATCTCAGTAAAGAAACATGTTCTACCTAATTTGTCCTCATTTCCACTCATCCAAAATCCCATTAAAGTCAAGTGTACTTTTTATCCCCCCCCCCCTTCAATATTAATTTACCAGCGAGAACAGGGTGTTTTATCCCCAGGTGGTGAAAGCTTGCATATGGAAATAGATTTAATTGGTTTAAAGATTTAAACATAATTTCCTCCCACCCTCTCCTCACTGAAATGCCTCTCCAAAACCTGAGCAAAACACTCAACACGGTTATATAAGACAGAAAGGCACAAGACTGCACTGCCAGCCTTCAAAACATTTGCAAGTGTTCAGCAAAGCATTACCACTTTTGATTAGCAAGCTTATCTGCACGCAGATCTAACATAAAAATGTAACTGAAGTAACTCTGCTTTTTCCAAAGTATCCACTGGGCACCCTTCTGCCCTCTGCATGTGTGAGGAATCATAGCCAGCAGTCCTCTGGCTCCATACCTGCTCTGCCAAACACTGGCACCACAGTTCAAGAGAAAAGGAAACCACCACATGCAAAATGGGGGGACTTAATTGGCACTCTAGTCTCAAGAGTCCCCAGAGGCAGGGGCTGGGAAAGTAAGGAGAGAGGAAAGGAGCCATGGCAGATGCTTTCTAACTCATTTCACAACCATCTCAACTGCTGCCATTTTGACCTGCCTCCTGCATGGCCTAAGTCTTTTCCTTGCAACTGCACCCTTTAATCTAATTTTCTGCCATCATCTCCAGCCTTTAGGGGTAAAAATGTAAGCACCACAGAAAAAAACTGGCATCTATTTTACTGAGTTTTACAGCTTATGAAACTGTACTTATTAAAACAGAAATATAAAGATAATTCATTCAAATATGTATCATAGGAGAAATGTGGCATTTAGAAAAATCATGTTGCTATGTAGTCCACAGACTAGGGTAAAATTAAATGTATAAAATGCAGTTCTGTTAATAACTACAAAGTATAATGAAAAACAAATTCTAGAAATGTGGAGTTCTTTCTCATTCCATGTTTTCTTTTTTAGATAATGCATCCCTATTTCCCCCTCCCCCTCCAAAGCAACTAATTAGATTCCCTTTTCTGCACAGTTATTTCTAAATTCACCTAATTTTACTGAACTGCTAGTTCATGTAAAACTATTGGAAACAGGTATTGAACAGAAATCACACAAAATGACTACTCACTCAAGTTAATGTAAGAGACCAAACCAGCTAATGCTACCTCCTGCTTTGAACTGTCATTCCTTTCCTCTGCAACATATGCACATGATAACCCACACACATACTTTTCCTGTGTTGTTTGCTACATATGGCAGTCAAACTTTACTTCATGTTATTCTAAAATAAAACCAGCCTTTCTGCTTCCGTCCACATCATACACAATGACCACACTTCATAAACACCTCCAAAGAACAGTTATAATGGGAAATGGGAGAAGATTCAACGTGCCAATTACAGAAGCCAAAGCATAACAATGCTGCTACTTGGATATTTTGCTGTTTGGAACATTTTTCGTAGTAAAGGGCAACCATGCAAAGTAACAGGATCAGTTTTCCAGCCCCAAGCTAAATGCCCATGAATTTACCTCTGACAACCTCTTCCACAGACTCTGTAGTTGTGGTGGTAGTGGTTGCAATACTGGTAGTTCTTTCGGTTGCCTCTTCATACTCTTCCTCTGTCTCTTCCTCAATTTCATCACCATCATCATCATCGTCATCAGCATCCTCATCTTCCACAACAGTTAGCTCCTCATCTTCCTCTGGTTGTTCTTCTACTACCTTATCATCACTAAATGAATAAAATTATAAAGCTCTGTCAGTAAAAGAAATATTTCAAGACAACAAGGGAGAACATTTTATTCAGAAACTTTATAAAGACAAGAATTTACCTCTTTCTTCATCTCACTCCCTTCCTCCCTTTAAAAAAAAAAGTAAGCTGGGACTCTGGAACATCCCAATGAGTAAGAAATCAGAAATACTAAAAAAAGTCAACATTAGCAATGCAGTGAGAAAACTAGCAAGATGCCAGACTGGAGCTCTTCCTTTTGCACAGGGATGGAAAAAGAATCCCCCATCAGCGGTACTGTATTTTGACAGCTGAATAACACTCCAAACATGCTTGCTCCATGCTGCTGTCAATAAATTAATTTTTATTCTGAAAGAAGCTCAAATTAGCTCAAAATGCACTCAGCTTTTATGGACATGGAAATGAGAGTTCCTCAGGAATTTCTCACCCAGAAGACACCTTACTCCGAAGCTCACTGTGGACTAGCTCACATGCCATTGACAGAGGACTACCAAGGGTTGAACTGACCTAGAATTGTCTACTCTGACTGCTAAGTTTTTTGTTCTATTGTTAAAAGTAGTGTTGTGTGAATAAAATAGCCATTTCTACGGGAACAGTGCACAGACCTGTTTTCAAAAAGGACGGGAAGGAGACTGAGCAGACACGATGCTGGAACTCATGCTTCAGCTGACTGTTTTAATCTTTGAGGCTTCATCTCCTTCTGCTATCTCAAAGCAGACAGTGACCACATCATCACCTTTCAGGATGACGGAAACTGCAGCTCACTATCAGATGCATTTGGTGGCTTAATACATCAAGAACTTTCTGGGATCACTTATACTTTTGAATGATATACAGACAGTAGGCCAAAAAAAGTATGTTCAGATGCTGCTACTGTCACTTTTGAAAGGCTTCCTAACTCAGTGCCCAGGTGTGGCAAGGTATCAGGTTTGTTAACCTGATCTGCTACTTGAAACTCACTAGTGAATAAATAACTTTTAATGAATAAATAATTTTTAAATATTGAAACATCCAGTGACTTTTTGTCACTTTAATACACAGGTGTTCTTGCATCTCTTTTATGGCATCACATATGCTTGAACAGCCTTTAATGTGAAGGAAGCTACCAACGTCTCTCCTCATTTTAGAGACCAAGCCTAGAGTATTTCACTTTATAAAAGGTTGCCTACTAAAATTTTGAAAGTGAACTCAGAGCAAAAAGGAGAATTTTTCTTAATTGGGTACTTAGAAGTTAAAATAATTATTGACAAAAATCTGGTATGCCATAGTAGAAGAAAGTTAAGTAAGTCTCTATCCAAACAGGAATGAATTTCCTGCTCCTTTCTCCTCAAAATACTTGGCCTCTGGAAACACAAGAGAGACTTAAAGTAATAATGAAGCTTTCAAGCCCAAGTAGGTTGTACAACTGATGTGGTAATAGCTAATTTGCAGAGGAGTCTGAATAAGGGATGACCTGTTTCCATTAACATGGGAGAAAGACTGAAAAAAGGGCACAAAACCTCTGAGTTTTTGGATTTAAAAGAACTGGCTTGGAAATTTCATCACCTTCACTGTGTGGTTTTCCCCTGCCATTTCAATTTCATTATGTCAAAAATTTTCTATTTTGTTTCCCCTAACTCCTTTTTGAACAATAAGTTTCTTGTACTTATATTTCTTACCATGTACTCCATATGGTAAGAAATACATTTCACATGTATTTTTATGACCATTAATGACCATTTTATGACCTGTACACACATTATCACCTTACAACTGCAAGACTGAGGTGAATTTTTAAGTCTAGTTTCTGATCTCTAGGTTAAGGTGCTTCTAATACTATTTAGATACAGGCATTTCAACTAGGCATGTGCAGTATAAGAAATGCAAAATTTGATCAAGATCATCAGACACCATATGCCTTTCAACATTAAAGAAAGTTGCTCTCTGTCATCTCTCACCTAAGGTACAAACACATCATACTTTTTTTAAAGTGCAATTATTTTTCCTCTTCCTTTCACATGAAGGATCACTCTCAGATACTGGCATGCATAGAAAGTTAAAAAAGGACAACAAAAATAACTTAATGAAATAAACAAAGGAAAATCAATTAGTCACATGGAAAGCCACTTAAAAAATAATTTGTATGCATGCATCCCATATTCATCTGTTTCTAGCTACAAAAAAGCAATCGGCTCAGCAGTGTCAGTCCACAGGATTTTGCTGGGAAACTCTCAGCATTAAGGCCAACCTTTTTTTTTTTTTAGGGATGTGACAGTGAAGGGTGCAAGATGAAAGAAGACAGTTGTCTGTGTGTATTTTTTGGTTATGCTCACCATTATAGTGGGCCCTGGTTCCCTCTCCCATAAATTACCAAAGTAAATGCTATGGGGTAGTCCCCACTTGCATGCCCTTTAAGACTTTGCTCCTTGCTGAATAACCTGACAAGGTTTACCTGCAAAGGTAAAAAAAGCCAGAAGTGATGCAAGATTACAACAATTTATGGGATCAGGCTCCTGGAAACATTGTAAAAAGCTTGCACAAAAATGCCTATTCTTTCTACTATTTTAATCACTCCTAGAAAAATGATATATCTGCTAGCAACATATTCTGCAAGACTCGATCACAAGGCTAATATTTCACAGGATTATATTTTATTTAAAGTTTCAAGAAAAAGGAACAAAGAAATCAGACTTCTAAGTGAAAGAGAGGGCCTTGCTATATGCTTAGAGAATTAAGGTGCCTGAAATTGGGCTTTAGAAGGTAATTTCTCTATTAAACAGGTTTTAAACACTCTCACTGTACAGAAATGTGAAACTACACTCAGTTTCTAAAGAAGCCCTCCAGACTTTCCCTAAAAGTAATCATATTTCCAGCTGACTACTTTACTTCCATTTATACAAAGATGAGTTACTGTCTCCTACTTATACTGTCTTCCAAAGAGAAGGCGAGCTGAAATACTATATGCTCTCTTAAGTTTCCTCTTGAATGAAGCCAAATACCAGAAACTAACTGGACCGGCATTCTGGTGGTTTAATCATGCTTAGCTCTGCCACACGGCACCACAGACTAAATGGCACGAATACACAACAGGCAAGGATGTATCCTAGCAAGCCCTAACAGCAACAACAGCAAGAGCTTCACATTAGGTATCAAGGCTACTCACTAAATCACACACTCCAAAGAGTCAATCACAGTAACCATGCTCAGCAGTGCAAACAAAAGATGAATCCACAGTTCTCAAAAAGAGAACTCAGAAGCCACAGTTATAAAAGACATGACAAAAGCAACATGTAGCCCCTTAGCAACAGTCCTCAGGAGGCAGGGGGAAGGAGATACCCCAATATTTGTCAGTAGCCAGGGTACTTGGAGCCTCTTGCTTAAAACACAGCTTTAATATAAATGCTACTTCTGTCTTCATAGAATCATACGAAGATATAGGTAGCATTTTGTGCTTAATGTATTGCTGTTGCAAACAAGGACAGGGGGAGGACTCCATATATTCTTAGTATTAGAAAAGGTACTACGTCATTTAAGAAACATGAACAATTATACTCGGTTTTAATTCTCTGGATTTAACCACTGTTATCATCCCGGCTGCACGTGAAAGGGACAGTAGAGAAAAACAGAGCAGGGAATGAACTTAAACATCAGGAATAAAGCATCAAAACTTTTCAAACGGGGACGAAACTCTCTCTTGCACAGTATGTAGAGTTGTTTCTCCCCGTTAAGCTAACTGCTCGGGTACCATTCATGTTTCTTGATTAGCACCACCACGCTGCTGTTTCCCAGACAGAGCATCTAACTCTTGCACACCTTTCACTTCATTAATCAGTTCAAATCCACTGTTTTTTAACAAAGGTTTACTAACAAATTAATGCAGATACTGATATTTTTCTCAGAAGTCTTGGGAGTTTTATTTAATAATAATACCAGGTGCACTTACATCCTGGTATTATTATTACATTTTATGTTCTTCAGTAAACAAGTATGACACAGTCTTTTTTTCTCCTGGAGTCACAATACCTTGACAGCTTTTTGGGTACATTCTATTAATACTGTCCCAGTCAGGGTTTTATAAGCACCACAGACTGCAGTGTCCCGTTTACAAGAAATCGTTACCATTTCACCTTAGCTTAGTGGTGCTGGTGAAAGAATTTTTCAAAGGCTGTTCAAACTAAAATTACATGTTACACTGGTAAGTTCACAGATTTGTAAAGCTGCATTGTCATCATCTGGGTTCAACAGTTCAGCAGTAAACAACAGAGATAAGTTGTTAGGCTTGATGCAGCCATGAAAATACCTGCAACCCCCCACCTCACCAACATTAGTGTATCTCAATCTCCTGTCAGTGGAGACTTTCCTTTCATGGAAGAAGTCATAGTAGCTTTGAACCTTTCACTTTCAGCCTCCTCACATACAAAAATCCATTCCCACTATCATGGAAATGATGATGCCCTTGAGTATCCTGGATCATCAATACAAATCATCTACAATCCTGTGTGTGGTGAAATGGGATATTTGAAGTACACCCTTGCTGGTCAAGAAACAGGAAAATGTTGGTAAATGAAAGTGTACTTTCCATGTTTCAATAAGTTATAACAGGGACAGAAGCACAGATGACAAGAACAATGAGTTTTCTTTCTAACCATATTTCAGAACTCAAGGGGCTGCAGTATAAGCTGTGTTTCAAGAGGCTTCTGTCTGCAACTATAAATTTCAGACAAAAATGTGGTAAAGTTTTCCGTTTAGGATAACAAATAACTATGGACTAACTGCTGGTTTCGGGAAGTGGCTCACATTTGTCTGCAAAAAATGCTCATCCATTTGGATGTATTTAAACCACAATTTTGCCAAAAACATACACTCCATCAGTGCCTGAAAAAGCAGGAAAAGGTGTTTAAGACAGATGTTTTAATATGTGGCAAGATTAGCATTCACTACACTTTGCAACTACATTTTATTGCAAATAGATTCTGTCTGGACTGTGGTTTTTTACCAGCCAC